ATATACCTGCGATAATCGGACGGTCTTTGCCATCAATCCTGGAGACCATATGAATGACTTTCTCGCTCATGCTGTGTCATCAAATTGACTGACCAACTCCATTCGTTTTGTACGTTCCCGCGCTCAATCTGGATTATGATATATCTTAAGTCGGCTCGAAAAACAGTGAATTCTGGATTTGTTATTCCTTGAATTTATTTTTGTTTTGTTTTGTTTTTTTTTTGTTTTTTTCTGACCTCGCCAAGCTTGACTTAGGTAGAAAAATAAAATGAGACATTTGGTCTTCAAACTTATGTATTATGCTGTCAGATACTGTAGCGGGTGATTTAGGAAGATTAAATAGCAACTGTTTATGATTTTCGAATAGGTTTTCCTCACCAGATCTCACCTCCCTTAACAATGCATTGGTAGGCGTTATTGATCCACCATTGCCGTTGTCTGACTAGCGACTATGAGGTAAAAGTCCTAATGAGTGCATTTTCATGACAGCATGAATGCTTATCGGCATAAGTCCGCAAGGTAGAATGATGATGTCTCAGTCTCCCACAGCGAGGAAAGTACTCAAGTAGATTTCAGAAACCTTATAACGACAGGCCATAAAATACTCTATATATTCATACGTACATACAAAAACATTACGGTGGTATTTGATAAAATATATCAGTGGTATTCATTATATGCACACGGGTCTGTTGACTGGCATATCCATTTTCCTGCCATTTGGGTACACTATATAGGCTGGTAAATTGGTGCAGAGTTTTGACATATTAATTTTGTGGTCTAATATAATGAAGAGACAATACTGTTGACCAAGACGTTAAATTCTCCCAAAAGTTGATTTTCAAATGAATATGCTGTGATGAAATATATAATTCCGGAAACTATGTACTCAGTCACCGTTTACTCTCTAGACAGATATGTATCATGCATATACTTATACCATATTTATATCTTATATATATCTAGAAGCAAACATACAGTACGACATTGCATAGTGCCCGTGCCCGCTGGGAGAGGTCTGGACCTTTAAGCACTGCCTCTTTCAAATATTGGTGGCGCGATTCGTCGTACAGATCCGTCCCTGCTGGTAGGTGGAGTAGATGGTCCGAAGAGAAAGTGTCAGATACCTTGGCATCCCGCATCTCGTCTTGCACAAAATTGTTTTCGTCCTTCCATGCGGTGCAAGATCTGCACTTCTGCTGCCTCTATTACGACAAGGACCCGCAGGAAGACACGAACTGTTGCTGCTCGTCACCCAGCCAGGGCCAGACTGACTAACATGATTCACACACCTCCCAGGCCGCCCAAGGAACCGAAATCCATTTCCGGTGAGGTCTCTCATTGTCCTGACGCTCGAGAGGTAGCAATGTATTCCCGTCGCCGAAGGTAATGGGATGACATGAGTACCTTGGACTGTGGTCTTGCAGGTAAAAGCCAAGGGATCCCGGGCTGAGCTAGGGCGCGAATATGTAACGCAATACCTGATTCTTCTTTTTACGGTCCAGAAAACATGCGAACCGAGGATATTGTACTGTTGACTACCGACCAGAGAATGAGTCTTTGG